CCCAGATGAGATGTACGAGTAAATAATCACTTGGGGTAGCCTGACATCCATCAGGATTGATCTGTTCTTTAGAAATTCTTTGCCTATTAGGATTATGCCAGAGATGGATGAGAAATTTATTCAGTTCCCATTTCAATGTGAACTTTCTAAATTCACAGTCTTGTGCCTAAGCAACAATCAGAACACAGCTAGACATTGAAAACTTTACTTTCTGGGATTTGCAAATTAAAGAGAGTGCACAGAATGTATACACTTGAAAAAACACATGCAAGAAATGTGTCTATTTTGAAAATCGCAACAAAAAGTTTCTGATTTTTCTGTGGGCTAACAAAAACGTGGAAATGGACAGGAAGGTTCACTGTGAGAGCCTGAGGGACGGGAGTGTAACAGCACCACAGGAACCTTCAGGATCCACTTCCAGTTGCCCATTGAGGAATAGCTCATGGCACGTCATAGGCTTCGAACTGCAGACAAATGGCTCTTTGTGAAGAAGGTGTGAGGGAGGAATTGCAAGACAATTTATATGCCGTTTAAGCAGAACTCTGGAATGGGAGTATCAGTTTCCCACAGGATGCATGCCTGACTCTCAGCAATAATTTTTCAAGGACCGTAGAGGTGTTATTGCATGTCAGTTTAATTGGATCAATTGCTTGTGGCTTGGTCATCCTGAAACTCTCTCATTAAAATCTCTTCTTTCTGCCTAGCCATGTGCAAATTGCTTCTAAAATGCTTGAAGACTGCGGGAAACATTCACTGACAGCTGGGGAAGGTGTTAATTCTGGTAATTCCTTAACTAGAATAAAAAAAATCAGCAAATGATCAAGGACTGCTTGGCATATAGATTCTTGCCCTCAATTTCACACGGCATGTAGAAGGTATACCTCAGTTTCCTTATACAGTAAAGAACTGATAAGGGCTTGAAGGCAAAACCCTAATGGACCGAGAGAAACTGTTGTTGCAATAACTGTCAGGTTCCAAGCCTATACCTGCTTACCTGAGAGCAAGTCCCATGGGTCTTTGCCCCCTTCCAATCGATCTCCTTTATTTTTGCTAGGAAGGCTTTCAGCACATCTAGTGAGGGAGCTTCAGAAGGAGAGGGAGGGAGACCAGAGGAAACCCTGAATAAAGGAGATCCTGGCCTTTCCAGTCTCCTCGCCATCCACCAAAATGCCTCCTTTTCTCCAAGGTCAGTCCTCTGACCTCAGAGAGGTAGCAGGAAGGCTGGCTGTGAGGGTCAGGGTTGGGGCTCAGAGCAGCAGCTCCCTATTCCAAGATCAGAGTGCTGACTTTGGCATCAAAGGGGGTTTTCAGAGCTATCCTATGGCTCATGGGAGGCTCACCAAGGGACCACAGGATTGTTCTCTTACGGTCTTCATGTGTGGCTCACACCCCAGGGTGAAATAAATCGGAATGCATGAGCCTCTGAAATCAGTGGTGTATACAGGCATATCTGTCACTGAAGCTAATGCACCTCTTTCCATCATCATCATCAGGGTCAGCAAACTGGACCCATATCATTGTAAAAAAATGAATGTTTGGTCAAGGCTGGGTTCTCCAACACTACCTCTTTTCACTTCAGCTCATCCCTGCTTTGAGCTTCCCCAAATCCGTATGAAATATTTAGTCCCTCTCTAGACACCTCCGCCCACCCCCAGCAGAAGTGCTGAATCTTGGGCCTTTGCGCCAAACCCACCCCATCTGAAGTCCCTTGCAGGGCTCCCCCATCCCATCCCCTGGCTGCCTATCTTGTTGGGTTGTTTCCAGGATTTTGCATGGGTTGTTTCCTATTCCAAAATGCTGAAATTCCTCTCCGAAGGCTTATTCGCTGGCTGCGTATCAAGCGCCCTTTAGTGCAGCTCTTCCCCATTACCAAGCAGTGGCACTTCCTTTTCCACTCCCTTTTGCATCAGGCGTGCTTGACCAAAGCTGCAGGCCTGCCCTCTATCTTCATTTCTCCGGAGGACTTTTACGGGCCCCATGACTCTGGGGAATCAAGATGCCAGGTGGGATAGCCAATTCCCTCTGCAGTACATCCAAACGCTTCAAAATATTGAAAGAAATAAAGGCAAAGAAAAATGCTCCTGCCTGGTTACGAGTGAGGAAGGCTGAACAGAGTGAGTGAGCCAATGCTGAAGGGCAGGGGCAGAGAAAGGGGGTGCAGGTTGGAGAGGAGCTAAGGGAAGAGCGGAGGGTCAGGAATGCTTGAGTGGCCCTGGGGGTGCCTTGCGCAGCGCCCCCTCCACCCAGGCTGCACTGCTGCTCACAGGGCTACTGCAGGGGGAACGTGCAGGTGCTTCACAGTACAATCCTACACAGGTCTGCTCAGAAGTAACCCCACTGAGTTTAGCAGGGCTTACTCCTAGGTCAGTATGTATTAAATACATCCTGCCTTGAGCATTCCAGAAGGGCAAGATATGCACGGTATAATAAATATGTACACTTACATCCACTGAAAATTGCGTATTCTTTAGGATCAGCAGAAACATTTTCTTCTGAACATTCTGCAAGGAACCTGATGCAAGGTATTTTATTTTATTTTTCAAAACAAACCACATTATAGTTTTACTCAAGTATTTGTAAAGGAACCACGTTATACTGCTCTCCAATGTGGCTGCCTGTAATCCTTAACACCTGGAAGATTACAGGAATCCAAGGGAAGGCAGGAGGAACACAAAGATTAGGAGTGCCCCTGTATTCCCTTTGCCCTCCGAAACATTTATATGACAGATCTGAGGGCAGATTTCTCCCCCCCCCCCGCCCCACACACAATGGTGTTTCCCCCTCTCTGGAGTCCAGCCGGCATGGGAAGAAGTGTGCCAACGGGGGGGGGGGGGTCCTGAGGCAAGAGCTCCAGCTGTGACCTTGGAAGACATTTCTGCCACTGGGAGTCCTCTGGCTCTCCAGGCAATGTTGGGAGGCCAAAGGGTTGCAGCCTTACTAGAGCACTTTAAAGGAACCTCTCTGTACACTTAGAAGACTATTCTTAAAAGACAGTACAGGATACTCTTACTGAAGTATTTCCAAGGAGCCATATCACACACTCGCAGAAGTGTTGCTGAAGAAAGCAACTAACAAGTAAAGTCCTAGCTGGTTTGGGTTTTTTTTTAAAGACACCACATTTATACTCTTACTGGGGGTGGTTTTTCAAAGGGGCAATATTCTACTTTTCCTAGGAACAGGAGACACCCCGCCGCCTGTTGTCACTAACGCTGGCCGGCCTGCCCGAGTCCGAGCCCCACTCCTCACTGTTACTTTCAAGCAGGACCCCCCTCTATTGTCACCACTGGCAAATGAATTAATGTAAACAGGGCACTGGCAGGCCTCCAGAGCTAATTAAAGCTCCAGCTTTGGATATATGAGATTGCTTTGCATTTCCCCTTTGAATACATATGCGCGGCACACATAAAAAAAGAGTCCAACTTGCTTATGCATTATTCTGACTTTCTTTATAGCAGTCTTATAATGCTGAATAATCAGAAAAAGAAAACATATTCAAAACTTCAGAAATAAACAGCACTGTCACTTTATTAGGGTCCATCACAGCAAATTAATATGCTTCCCCATTTTCCTCTAGGTTTCAATACCAAAGGTATAACACTGATTTGTTCACCAGTTAACACCATGACTAATTACGTAAAATATATCTTGGTTAGTCTGTAGCCTTACTTTAAAGAATATCCATTCCCCAACTGCCTTCTCTTTGAAGCAGGTTCTTATCTTCCTTTTTGCCACTCTTCCCAGAGTAATTACTGATTATTTGATGGAATGTTCGTTGAAAGTTGGCTCTCTGGTAGCAAGGTTCTATTGCTATTTATTTTGCTGCTGATCCTCTTACTCTCTTACATATATATGCCAGAGCATGCATTTTCCCATGAGGTGAAACAACAATCCGTATGGGTTAACGCACTCCAAAGGGAAACCTCCTGTACTTAATTTAATGGCGGCATTACACACATAAACAAGGGATAAGCACCACAGCAGAAATGGGTCACTTCATCTTTTTGTTCTTGGAAAGCTGTCCAGTTTATAGGAGTGTGTCAGATTAAGTGGCAATATTATTTCAGTGCTCAAACGATGCTTTAAATCTCATTCTTCAATGGGGTACATTATTTACTTGTGTTACCAAAGAAGCTCCCACCAAAGTCTCTCTCGATAGATTCTAACTAGAATACCAGAAGTCAAAGCTCATTTCACATTCCAATCCAAAACCTAACTATGCACACATTGTTTTTACTAGTTTTAATTGCATATAACACAGTATTTGACTGTGGCCTTTGCATCAATTTTGAGCAAGTTACTCCATTATCGTAATCTTACTCTTCCATCTTTAAAATGGGAACAATATCAACATACCTTATAACAGATTTGCTATCAATTAAAATTACAGAGATTAATGAGAAGACTTCTAACTCCTTTTTCCACAAAAATAGCAGCAACAACAACAGTTTTCACCAAAAGATAGCCATCGCCACTTAAAGTACACATACCCAGCATATGTACTTCAGATTTGTTCTTAAATACTTGTCTCACATATTCTTCACATCTGAAAGCGTGAAAAATCAAAACTCTTCCCCAAGAACCTGCTCACACCATTTGCCCAGGACAAGAATTCTTTCGCTAATTTCTTGTTAAGAACTCAGTGAAATGGAAACTGGAGGCACAAAACCTGTGCCTCCTTTGGATTTTACCGCCTAAAATAAGTACTACACCTCACTCCAAAGAAAAACCATCCTGGCCCTGTTCATGCACAAAGCTTAAGCAGATTCCATGGAAAGCAGTCACACTGCTTGGAGAACGTTACACCTTCGAGTAAATGTGCTTAGGGGAACAGCTTTGTTCAGTTGTCCGGGAAAGAGCCCTAATTCCATTGTGTTGCATCAATGCCGGAAGAGCAGCTGATCCATAGGCTCAAACAAAGTGTCTTTCAAAATGGTTCCCAAACAAATTATAATCACTCAACCCATTTTTTTTTTAAAACAAAGCAACTGAAGGTACCTTACCATTTTTATGATAATAGGTCACTTCCACTTTCCTCTCCTCTGACCCAAGCAGTGCCTGGGCAATTTGGGCGATGTGGTGCCTTTTGGTCTCTGGTCCATGAAGAAAGTCACAGGTGCATGGTTTCTGCATGACATCTGGCCTGGAGAACCCGGTCATCTCGCAGAAGCCGTCATTGCAGTAGATGATAGCACAGTTCTGCACTCTAGCATTAGCAATGATGAATTTTTTATCTGCAATTTTAAAAAAAGAATGCATTTTTCAGTAAGCTTATAATGTTTCATAAAGTCTCACAGCTGCCTGGACAGATGCTATTTCTGCATCTGATTTTCCTCTGGTGTACAGAGGTTTAATAGATATTTAATGCCATTCAGGTGGTGCCAGACCTCTTTTTAGAAATTCCAATAAAAAGCAGAGAAATTAAAACTCTAACTCAACTAGCTTGGAGGTATAGCTTGTAGGTTTGTGTAAATGGGGGCAGGGGAGTAACAATGTTTCAGTGTTTAAAGACTATAAACATGGTTGCAGTTTTGTTGTGTTATAACAGGTGGTCTCCAGGGAGGTTGGGTGGATGGGGGCTACTCTCAAGCATTAACTCTTTAGATAGGCCTGCTTGCTGAAGTCCTCTTTAAGAGGAGTGTAGCTTCACAAAGCAACCCCAGGTCTAATTCAAACCCAGGCATGGGCACGCCAACAGCAGATCAGCACTGAACTGAGCCTTGCAAATATTTAAAATAAGAACAACAATTTGTGCACACAGAAAACCTTTACTGACCTTCATGCCACCATGTTAGTGAGATCACCTTTTGGTTTTTCAGTCATCTGACACTTCTTGATAAATAGAGTTGTCCAGTTTACAAAAGATTCCTGCATCGTCAGGTGAAGGAAGGGTTCTTTTTAGTTCGGTAGGAGTTTGCCTCATAACAGATCAGACTATTGGCCCATCTTTCCTAGTACCGTCTACTCCATGATGGGACAAGTAGGACTTTTCAGATGCTGTTGAACTGGTACTCTAATAAGCCCAAACCAACCCCAGGCCCTTGCGAGGCCTGCCAAGAGTTGCCCTGCAGCAACTTCTGGTGGGCCATGCTTTCTTCAACTCTGAATGACTCCAACTAGCAGCCATCTTAGGCAGCTGTCTCACCCATTTTTACCAAAAGAGAGTTGGGACATCCTGGGAACCACCAACAGACAAATCTATTTACAAGTTAGATTCTTTACTTGGCTCATTGTGGGGATTCACGTTGGAAGCCTGGTGGAGAAAGATTGTATAAAGAAAGAAGGAAAACAGAACCATTTCCCTCCCTACCTTCCTGCTTGGACCACCACGGACAGGCCAGCCCTCTCCCGCACAGTGATGGCAGCAAGAATTCAGTGGTTCCTCTGCACCTGGATGGCTACATGGAATGCTGCTACCACAACCATCCTGAGATTCTTGCATGACAGAAGGTAAAATGGAGGATTTGACTCTAACACACAATACGTACAACCCAATGCTTGAGCTGCTAACCATGAAATATGGTCTCTCGATTTGGCTGCTTCTCAGCTGCTTCGTCGCCGCTGCACCTGAGAAATGTGTTCATGTGCAAGCCAAAAACCACGGAGTAATAGATCAACATTTGGATTAAAACTCCCATCTGCCCCAGCCAACATGGTCAATGGCCATGGATACCGGGAGATCTAGTCTAAAACATCTGGGGGACACCAAGATCAAAAAGCATTAGAAGATGGAGGAAAGGGGAGCAGGAAGCACATATGGTAACCACTCTTATTTTAGAATATAAAATAAATATAAAGGCTGTAAAGCAGGCATCTCTCCTGGCACGACAGGCAGGGGTCCTCTCTGCAGAGATTGCATTGCCTGCTCACTTCTGCTGAGCCTGCTGTTTTTAACAGCAAGTGTGGCTCAGCAGCCACATCTTTCTTTGCATGGTGGGTCATCATCAAATGATTCACAGATTCACCTGACTGTTCTCCTGAGCTTCGTGGGAACTAGCACATGCAAGATGTCTGTATGAATTACTCCCCATAAGCTACACAGTATACCAAATGTTTACACCTGAAGGCATGATGGGGAATCTGCAAAACTGTATGTATATAACCTACATAACTCTCACTTCTTCTCCTTGCCATACCAGGCTTCCCTCAGCCCCTTTCACATTCTGTCAAGCGAATCCCCATAATCTTCAGACTCTCTCAGAGAAGAGTGCCTGATTATTTATAAGCAATTTTTGCAGCAGCTGTAGCTTGTGTCACTCAGTGCCCTCATTATGCACACCCTCCCAGAGATAAATAAGTCAACTGACTTTAATAGGCTGCTTCTATCCCCAAAGACTGCAGGATCTGACCTTTCTACATCTCATGCAAACTACGAGTCTGTTACTCTGACACAAAGGGATCTACTCTACCCCAGGAAGATCTGTAATAAAGGCAGATCCACAGTTACCCATTCAACACATTTGGAACTGACTATTTAAAGGAATGCATCCAACTTATTTTCCCAGTATGTTTTTTCGCAGAACAAGGCCAAATCAGGTGCTATCTTCTTAAATCTTTACCAGCACCTGGATGACTAAGGCTGCAGTCCACACTTAACTGGCAACCCTATTGAAAATAGCAGGACTTACTTTAGAATAAAGCATACATAAGGGTGCCTTAAAAGGCAGCAATCCCCAAAACATTTAACAGGAAGTAAGTCTTTACAACCTCCTAGTTCATCAACCGGGCATATGTAAGTAAGCTCAGCAAGACTTACTTCTGAGTAAACAGGATTAGAATAGCACTGCGTGCACAGTAAGCTCCCTTCACGCTCTCTCGTTAGGCAAACAGCTCTTGTAATGGGGAGGGAACCTCGAGGACCAGCGAGAACGCCGAATCAATCCTAGCCAAAGATCCCCTCCGGATATGCCTTTCGGAGCTGACCTGCTGAAAACTTTTCCTTGCAACTAGCCTTACGCCAGTCGCAATGGGCTCAGACCATTCAGAGTTCAGAGAGGAGCCTTCTTCCCCCATCCCGCCCTGGGCATCTCTCGACCTCCAGCACCCCTTTCCCCCCGACCCCAAGCCTGCGCTGCCCCGAGTGCGCGCACGAGGGGAGAGGGAGGTTGCATAAGCGCGCGCGGCTGTGCGCGCTGCCTCCTCGGAGCCCCCGGACAGTTGCGAGGCAGCGAAGAAGCGCGCGCGGAGGGAGAGTTCGTGGCACGGCGAGCCGGAGGCGGCGGTCTGCGGGGCAGGCGAGCCCGTGCCGCGCTCGCAGCTCGGACCCCGGGGCATCCGCAGCGGCACCCGCTCCCAACTCCGGGAGAGCCCAGCAGCCCGCGCCGAACTTGCCCCGCTGCGGGGCGGCTGGGCGCCCACACGCGCCCCGGAGCTCGCGGACGGAGCCAGCGACCGCCAGCCACTTACTCTGCCCCTCGAATTTCCGGATGATGGTGCCCAGGAAGGTGTTTTGCGGTGCCACATGACCCCTGCGAACGGGCATGTTGCTCGCGCTCCAGCTCCCGCGGGCTGGCTGCGAGGCGCCTCTTCCTCCGCGGCTGGCCGGCTGGCTGGCTGGCTGGCTCTCCCCCGCCGCCTCCCTGCCCTGCGCTGGATCGCCGGCTACCCCTCGCGAGAAAGCATCCTCCCTTCGGCCGCCGGGCAGCTCGCGGCGCGGTTCAGCGGCGGCGGCGGCGGCGGCGGCGGAGTTCCGCTCCGGCAGCTGCTCGCCTTCCCGGGCTCCGCTCCATGCTCAGGGCTGCGGCGCGCGCGCGCGTTTTGCCTCCGGGCGAACCTGACGCGCTCCTCGCTGGGATGGAGGGCGGGCGGAGCGGGTGGGGGGGGGGAGCCGCTGGGAGGGAGGGGCCGGGCGAGCGGGGCGCGGGGCGGGCGCGGGCTGGGGAATCGCGCCCAAGGTGATCGATGCGCGCCGCGCCCGCGCCCCCCCCCCCGCCGAGCGCTAGGCCGCGCCCCTTCTCGCCCGCGCAAGCGGCGCCTGGGGGGCCGAGGCTGCCGCGGAGGGCGGGTGGCGGGCGCAGCGCGCTGCCTTCCCGTGGCGGGCGGAGTGACGTCCCCCCGCCCGGCCGCCTGCGGGCTCCGGCTCGGCTCGGCTCGGATTACTCAAGCGTGCTTCAGCGGGAGGGCGCCCAGAAATCTCTCGCTCCCCGCGCCGGGGACCAGCGGCGACACCGCGGCACACGCAGCGCGGGCCGGCGCCACCGCCTCCGCGGCGAGGACGGGAGAGGCGCGGGGAGGGCCACGCGGGGGCCGCCCCAGAGCGACGGGACTTGCTCCCAGGTAAGTGGGCACGGGGCCGTGGCCTGAGCCATCTCGGTCCCGGGGTGGGGCCAGTCGAAGCGCAAAGGCAGTGCCCAAGGGCGTGTGCAGAGCGCGGGCACGAAGCAGGCGCGGCAAGAACAAAAGGTGGGGCGGAAGCCCGGTCGGGCTTCCCGGGCCAGGACTCCGCTGAGGACGCAACGAAGAGAAGGGCGGAGTGCCTTTCGCCCTTCAGGAATATGGAGTCATCTAGCAGAGTTTGGGGTGAGGTTTGGGAGACTGAGGAGGCCTCTGAGGACGTGCAAAGTTCGCTCAGAGCCTCCCCGCCACCCTGCTGCTTCTGCTGTTGCAGTTCCTGACTGAGCAAGAAGGGATGAGTTGAGCCTGAAGTTCCTCACTTCGAGAAAGTGGCACTGCTGCGTGGAAGGAAGATAGAGCTGCTCTCGGCTGAATGCCCCGCGTGTTCCTGAATTCCAGCTCCCCACCGCACCGCCCCGCACCCCCCGGGGAGACACACGAATCAGACGGAATTTGACCCCCCCCCCCCCGCAGTGCCACATCCCAATCAGCAGAAAGATCCACCGTGTGCATCCCCAGAGTGCAGGCTGAGGCAACCTACGGACGACCCCGGAGCCTCTTCGCAAAGCTACCTGCAACTTGTCTCGTTTATCAGGACAATGCTTGTTTTGCTCCATTCTGGCACTTGCCAGTTATTGTGGCTGCGGCTCCTCTCAGGCCCCGCCCAGACTTACTCTCAAGTAAGTGCACCCAGGACTTCTGCATTAGCACTTCACCTCCTGCTTGTTGCAGGACAGTCCAGGGAAGCTCACTGTCGTAACACCCTCTTTCTTTCAGCAGGATTGCTTCCATTCGGTGCTTATAGCTATCTACAGTTCTGTTTTATTAAACTAAAATTGGGGGGACACTAGAATTTATATGCAGGACCCATAGAACGGGGTGGACAGTAGGTAGATTAGGACCTACTAGTGAATCTTTGGGCATTTAGCAGTAGACCAAGGATTTCTGATGCCACACAGTTTAACAGCAGCGCGTAAAAATTCCAGCAAAATGTAAAAATTCCCATCCCTGATTGAACTTGTGCCACTCCTTTATCTCCCAGCCTCTGTGGACTTGGCCAAAGGCAACTGCCTTACAGACAAGGTCTTGATGTAGCTCTGGTGACTAATTTTAGAGCAGCCCTAAACTCCCTGACTTAACTCAGGTGCAGATTTGTAGATCCAGGTGATCCCATCTGTGGCTCCAAAATGATAATTGCTCCCTCTTCCTTAACCATCATTTTACATCTTAGTCCTCCACGTTTCTGCAGCCACCATTTTGCTCTTGTTAGTAGATGGATCTTGGGCTTTGAGTGAAAACAAAAAACAACAAGTAAATCCCATGAACGTGAAGTCTGCCTCTCTCTGCTGGGTTGTAGTGCTTGCCAGAGGCAGGCAAGCTATCTAGCAAGCAAGATGCTACCATGGTATCTTGTGTATAGCACACTGCAATTGCCAGGCCAAAAAAGTCCCACTCATCTCATTTTATCAGTTCTCACCAAGTAATCTAGCTAAAACCCAGCCATTAGCTTTGTGTAATTAGTAGTTGCAAATGTGTCTGAAGAACTGTGTAATGGCAGAGGAGAGCTAGAATATAATGAAAATATAATGTAGTTGTGAAGAGTTGGCCTTATAAAGTCTAGTTTGTAAGATGCAATATTTGTAGTGGGATAGTAAGTAGAGACAAGCAGTATAAGTTGGATTTAGTGGAAACATGTAGAAATATTTCTCCAAAAATCATGAGTAGGATTTTGAGGGCTGGGAGATAAATTGGTGCTAAGGAAGTTTAAGTGTTGCGACTTCTGAATGCAAGCTAGGCAGATGTGCATACTTTTTCAGACTAAATCCCTCATGATTTTTCCCAGGATAGTGCCAGGAAACATATTAGCACCAGGGAGGGCTTCTAAGAGGTTGATTTATGGCATTTGCTATCTTTAAGCCTTCATGAATTCTCTGTAGGTCTGGACAACTGGCCCAAATAAATTCTAGGTTCAGGGGAAAGTAGTAAGATAAATATGGGGTGCAATGTGCAAACTCCTCCAGCACCTCCACTGGGCACATGCTGTTCACTCTCTTACCACAGAGATACTCCATGTTCAAATTCCTGAAAACAGCTAGGCTGGGCACAAGGCAGGTTTCTTTCACACCAAGGGCCAAATCTGGAGTTTTGGAGAAGCTGCCAGGGGCTGCAGTCAGCCAAAAAGAGGTGGGGCCAAAGGTAAAAGGGCTGAGGTCAAAATCCCAACACATTTTAGCTTAAAGCTCTGCCAACAGGACAGACGTTTCAGCCTTTCAGAATGGAGAAACATGCAAAAGCCATGGAATCACCAGCTGTTTCGTTGCTCGGGGAAAGGGGACGGAGCAGCCAAAGCAGGGGAGATTAGGACTGCGGGTGGGCTAATGCGGCCATTGGGGTTGAGCTCCATCAGTCCTGCTGCAAGGCAACGTCTCACGCAGCCATTCCCTAACTGTACACGTGCCTCACATATGAGCAATAACAGGTAACCTGACCGTTCAACAGCAGCAGTGCCATCTCCTATGGACCTGAAATATGGCTCAGGGAATTTTTACTAGTGAAGCCAGGTGACCTGGGGAGAATATTGTGCATTTATTCGTATCCATGGGCTGAAAGAAGAAATCCTTCCATATGATGAGAGGCTGATGGGGTGGATTATGTATGCCAGACCTCATACTATGCATGTTTATTTGGAAGTGGGCGCTAGTAAGTTCAGTGAGGCTTTTTTTCCCTATAGAAGTGTACACAGGATTGTAGGCATGCAGTGTATTCCTAAATATATTTGCTTGTGAGAGGTGTGTCTCTTGTGAGTAGGATTTTGCTGATAAAACCAAAGGGCTTTTTAAAAAAGACAAGAATTTAGAAGATCAGAGACACAAATGGAATGGCAGGTGAAACACGCATACGCTTAATGTGAACCTTTTTTATAAGCTTTATCTTGTTTCCCTTCACTACTGTACAATTCTCAATTTACAGAGGGAAAATGGGAGTCTTGCTAAAGAGGGACATCTCATGCCCACATGGCAAAGACAGAACAGGTGCTTAAAACTAGACTTACAAATCAGAACCCAAAACTTCTCTCACTGAGCAATACTGCTTCTCCTCCAATCATGGGTGTGAACTTTATTTAGCACATTGCATTTCTGGGAGGGGTGGCAGGGAAAAATCTGTACTGTATCTTTTTTCAGGCAGCAAAAATGACTATTTGTGGCAGCTTGCTAGATCCCATATGCCCGGTTGATGCACAAGGAGGTTGTAAAGACACTGGGGAGGTGTGGAATTTCTGGACATATCACAGGGTGTTAGGAGAAGTCTGCCAAGAAGCATCTGTTATCTCCTACAGATAATTGATCAGGCAGACAAAAGTACTTCCTAGCAGGTTTCTCCTGGTCATATTAAACCAGCAGGTCATTCGTTCCCACAGACACAAGAAGTTATTGCAAAGATTTTGCAGAGAGGGCAGATTCCTTCATCTTGTGGCGTCTACCCACTTATCCAGTAGTTCTTGAGAGTGTCAAATGGAGGAAGAACGGCATTAGCAAGGGTATAAAAAGCAACAGGACGGAGGTAGAGAGAGCATGGTAACGGGGCTGTGTTACGGCACAGTACAAGCTCCCCCAACGTTGCTAGCATTGCTGTGGGATCAGCTTTAATACTCCCAACAATGTCTTTATCTTTAAGAAGGTGGGGGGAAAGGCCAATTATACAAAATGTTGGAATAGGGGAGATGCATGATTTCTGATTTGCACCTCCGTACAAGCAGCACCTTGAGGGAGATGGTGATGTCACCCAAAACCAGGGCATAAAAGAGACCTGGTTGGTTGGTTTCTTTACAGTGCAATCCGATGCATATCTACTCAGAGGCAAGCCTCACTGTGTTCAATGGCTTTTACACTCAGGACAGGGGAAAGGATTAGATTGGCATCTTATGAATTCCTGGGAGTACATCCCACTTGACAAACTGGGGCTTACTAATAAGTAAATATGGATGAGATTGTCCTGCTCCCCACCCCCCCGCCCCACATGCACGCTCGAGGCAGCCCTCCGCTTCCTGTGAAGATATCTGATCTAATTCTCAGCTGCCTGCTTTTGCAGCTGCACAAAGCACTAAATCGGACTGGAGCCTCCATCCATACGGGGTGCACTGAAGGACGG